GCACCACCACCTACGGTAAGCTTCAAATCAGCAGGACTGGTCTTTTTCCTCAGTCACTGCTTCTCACTAAAACCAGGTTGTACCTTATATTTCATTACATCCCTATTCCTACAAAAACTCTGCCTGATCTAGCCCCCAAAACTAAATGTTTCTCGTCATCAACAATTCTCACTGCCCATTTTACTCATGTTCCTTTTGACACCAATCGCTCTTCACCTCAATATTATGTCTTAGTGACCTACTGTTAGATACATACTGAGTACTAGGTTCATTTAAATATTTTTTATAAACTTAAAAAAATTAACTCTTTATTTTCATAACTCATAATATTTAAATGTCCTTTATTCATAACAATGAAAAATGAACTGCTTCACTGGCAAATGTACAAGAAAAATATTAAACTAGCAATGCAATCATTTTGTATCCTTTCCCCAACATTTTCTGTGTAAGAAGATCAGCTACAAATGTACATACTCATTGTTATAAATCCTACAAGTAGAGGCACATCTTCAGGAGCGCAAATGCCTGAAAATAGAATGATGAAGGTAAACTGTAACTTTATTTTAGGCCTAGTGATTGCAATACCACCTTTTGGTATTCTATTCACAATACTACAGAGCTTTAAAGTACTAAAATCTTGGCATTTTGTTGGTCTGATACCATTATTTCTCTCTTATTCGATAGCTGAAACCAAAATGAGTGACATTTAAGATGGATCCAGCTAGGTGTGTGCTGCACTACACTCACACTGAGCGCAGGTGAGCTCATTCTCCACCTCCATCCACAATGTTCCAATTTATAACTTTTTAAATGTTTGTATTGATTTCTTTATTAGAGAGAGAGGAAGGGAGAGGGATAGAGATAGAAGCATCAATGAGATCCCTTACTAGGAATCAGGCCTGCAACTGGGACATATGCCCTGACCAGGAATTGAACCAGTGACCTCTTAGTTCATGGATCAATCCTCAACCACTGAGTCACACCAGCCAGGCCACAATGTTCCAACTTAATGTTTCAACCAAAGACTGGGAATCTGATTCTGAAGGTCCAGATGGGGCCTGAGATTCTGCATTGCTAACAAGTGTGAGGTAAAACCCGCATGCTGGTCTAGCAACCATCCCCTAAAAGGCCACAGGAGAGAAGAAATGACTACCAACGAAGCAAAGACTCCATCACAACTGTCATTTCTAATTCAACCATCAACAATACTAGTAGTAATAGTTCAAAGATTTTTCAAACAAGCTGAATATAAAATACTGGAGGCCCGGTGCACAAAAATTCGTGCACTCGGGGGGGGGGGGGGGGGGGGGGGGCCCCCAGGCTGGGCTGGGGCCCCCCCCAGGCCGGGAACCCTTGGGGGAAGCCCCCCGCCGGGTGAGGCCCCCCCCTGGGGGGAATAGGGCTAAAGTGGGGGGCAGAAATCCCTCTGATGGCTTAAGCCCACTCCCCATGGTGAGTGGGCCTAAGCCACAGTTGGACATCCTTAGTGCTGCCGCGGAGGTGGGAGAGGCTCCTGCCACCACCGCTGTGCTCACAGCCATCAGCCTGGCTTGTGGCTGAGCGGAGCTCCCCCATGGGAGCACAGTGACCACCAGGCAGCAGCTCCTGCATTGAGCGTCTGCCTCCTGGTGGTCATTGCGCGTCATAGCAAACGGTCATTCCACCATTAGGGTCAATTTGCATATTACCCTTTTATTATATAGGATAGAATGACAGAACCAAAGCTAATACAGTTTATTCTATACCCATACCTCCAGCTAAGAAATCTAAAGAGGACCAAGGTGAATTGAAAACTGTTTCTTTGAAACAAAAGAAAGAAATAAAAGGACAGGCTGGAAATGAAGGATTAAACTGTGTTTATTAACAGGCAACATGATCATTCGTCTTTCCCCAATATTATCTAAACATACAATGCAATCTTCATCAAAATCCAAATAAATTTTTAGTAGATATTGACAAATTACAGACTTTATTTGGAAATGCAAAGGTCCTAGAACAGCCCAAACAACCTTGAAAAAGAGAACAAAATTGGTGGATTTACACTACCTGATGTCATGTCAAAGTAATCAGGACATGACAGTATTGTCAATGAAATTAAAAAAAAGAGATTCCAGAAAGAGATCCTAATTTAAGTGGTCAATTGATGCTCAACAGAAGCCCTAAGGCAATAAATTCAATAGGAAATCAAAGTCTTTACAATAAATAATGGTGCAATGACTAATAAACAGAGGAAAAAAATGAATCTCATACCACACACACATTTCTTAGTTGAGATAGATCAGGGACCTACGCTAAAAACAGTTAATACTATTAAAGCTTCCAGAAGAAAACATGGGATATTATCTTTGCAACTTTGGGGTAGGCAAAGATATCTTCGGTCACAAAATTAGTGTTCATCACAATAAAAATGTTCTGCCCAGCCGGTGTGACTCAGCGGTTGAGCATTGACCCAGAAACCAAGAGGTCACCCATTCTATTCCTGGTCAGGGCACATGCCCAGGTTGTGGGCTTCATCCCCAGTGGTGGGGGCATGCAGGAGATAGCTGATCAATGGTGTTTCTCTTTCATCAATGTTTCTATCTCTCTATCCCTCTCCCTTCCCCTCTTAAAAAAACCAACTTAAAACATTTTTTTAAAATATATTTTATTGATTTTTTACAGAGAGGAAGGGAGAGAGATAGAGAGTTAGAAACATCAATGAGAGAGAAACATCGATCAGCTGCCTCCTGCACATCTCCTACTGGGGATGTGCCCGCAACCCAGGTACATGCCCTTGACCGGAATCGAACCTGGGACCTTTCAGTCCGCAGGCCGCCACTCTATCCACTGAGCCAAACCAGTTTTGGCCTAAAACATATTTAAAATAAAATTTCTGCTCATGATAAAATACCTTTAAGAAAATTAAAAAACAAGCCACAGGCTCAGAGGAAATATTCGTTATATATATAGAGAGAGAGACATACTAGTGTATTTTATTTATATATATAAATAAATATAAATATAAATAAATAAAACTAGTGGCCCATGAAATTTGTGCACAAGGGTGGGGGGTGGGGGGGGGGGGGTGTCCCTCAGCCCAGCCTGAACCCTCTCCAATCTGGGACTCCTTGGGGGCTGTCCGACCTCTCGCAATCCGGGACCACTGGCTCCTAAATACTCACCTGCCTGCCTGTCGCCTCTAACCACTCTGCCTGCCAGCCTGATCATCCCCAACTGTCCCCCCTTCCAGGCTGATTGCCCCCAACTGCCCCCCCTTTCAAGCTGAACACTCCTAAAGGGCCTTTCCTGGCAGGCTGAAGGCCCCCTAATGCCCCCGGCACCGGGCTGAAGACCCCAAACTGCCCCACA